CTTTCCCTAGCTTTCCATCTCCTCAGATGCTGGGCACCTGTATGCATGGCTGATATTTTCAGGCCTTCCCAGGGACATGAACCCACAGTCAACTCTGGTTCCCAGCCCTGCAGTCCAGTACAGTATGGATTATATCCCTTAGGCTGGTCACTCTGTGATCCCTTCTCCTCCATTCTCTTGGGATCTTAGGAATTCTATGTTCCATTGGTTTATTTATCTACTCTTGCCCAAGTATATATTATTTTATTTATTGTTGATTTAAAATATGTCTTAGGATCTGGTAGAGCTAATAGTTTTACTTGTTTTTTTTTCAGTGTCTTGGATTTCCCTGGATTTTGTATTTCTATACACATCTTAGAAGCATCTTCTCAAGTTATAAAAAGAAAACTGGAGATTTTGATTGAATGTATAAATATTTTCAGCTTGAGTTGTCATTTCTGCAATATTATATCTTCTAACTTATGAATATGGCATAGCTCTCTATTATTTAGATCTTTATTTTCTTTTGATATTGTTTTATTGCATTATCATAAAGTTTTTACATTCTTGTGAGATTTATTCCAGGATATTTGATATTTTTAATGCTATTGTAAATGGTATCTCTTTAAAATTTCATTTTTCTAGATGTTGGTTGCTGTTAAAAAGAAATATAAAGAATTTTTATATACTGACTTAGTATCTAGGATATTTTCTAACTCATTAAAATTTATCTCTTGATAAATCCTTTAAAATTTTTTATATACATCATCATAACATTTACAAGTGACAGTTATATGTCTTAATTTTCCTAGATTTTGTTGCGTGCCTTCTCCCTCCATCTTTTCCCCTTCTCCCTCTCTCCCCATATTTTCTTGTATCCCTTCATTGCCAGAACTTTTAAGTACAATGTTGAATAGAAGTCATATTAGCAGGTATTCATGTGTTATTCCTGATCAAATAAAAAGTTTTAACTTTTCTTAAATATATATGATGTTTGCTGTGCATTTTTTGTGAATACACTTTATCAAGTAAAGGAAGATTATACAAATCTTCTTCTTGTCCTCATTTGCCAAGAGATTTTTTTTTGTCTTTTTGTCATGACTCTATTCAATTTATCAAATTTCAAATTATATTTCTTTATGTATGAAGATGACCATATGATTTTTCTTTCTTATTTTATTAATGTGTCAGATTACTCTTATTTATTTTTAAATTTTAAAGCAATCTTTTATTCCTTTGATAATACTGACTTGAAATTGATGCGTGAATTATTTTGTACATTTCTGGATTCAGTTTGCTAGTGCCCCATTTAGGATTTTTGCTTCTATGACCATCACTGAAAGTAGCTTGTAATTTTTGGTATTTTAGCAAGTTTTTGTTTTGGTTTGTTTTACAAAGTTCCTTATGGTATTCAAAATGTTTTTTTTAATGAGTCTGTAATCTCAGATAATGATTCATAACTTATATATTCATGTACCCTTAAGCTACATACCCAGAGTTATGTTCAATCAATTACCAATTCCATCAACTCCAGTTTAAATAATATATCATTGTTTCATCATTCTTCCTATTCTGTCAGCTCCTGCATTGGTTCAGGATGCTATTGTGTGTTTCTTGAACTTCTCTAATAATGCCTAGAATGTTTTTCTGCCACAGTTTGGTTTCCTCCTATTTATTTTCCATATTACAATTAAAATATATGTTCTAGTTTGTTCTATAGTTAATACTAGAAATACCTGAATCTAGATCATTTAAGAAAATAGAAATTGATCTAGCCTACAGTTTTATGGGTATAAGGTCAAGGGGCCACATCTGGTGAGGGGCTGATGGATACCACAGCAGAGGGTGGGACAGAATAAGTGCAGAGCAGAGCATGTCTCTGTCTGCTCCATGCCTCCTTCTTTCAGTCAACTAGGACTCAATCATGGGGACCCTACTCTGATGCCTCCTCACTTTCCAAAGGCTCCATCTGCCATTCTCATAGATTGTTTCCTCATCATGCTGTCACAATACCATCACATTCCAACATGTGAACGTTGGGACACATTCAAATCATAGCAACGAACTTCTTAAATCATTCACCCTATTGTGCTATGTGTATTCTTACATTTTTTTGTTTCATTGGATTTCTGTCCACTTCTCAAATCAACCATTTTCTTCTTTTTTTTGTTTTTGCTTTTGTTTCTTTGAGAGGTTTTTGCTATAGGGAGCGAGTGCTCACCACACAGACAGAGAGAGACAGAGAGATAGAAAGCAAGAAATTATCCCCACGCCGCAATCCCTTCTCCTCCTTTCTCCTCTTGGGATCTCGGGCATGCACACACACGTGCCCGGCATGAGTTTAAGCCACCAGGTCCAGGACTCGAACTGCAGTTGGCTCCATGGGAGTTCAGTGACAGCCATTACGCTAACTGCTGGTCCCAGCCATTTTCTTTCTTTCTTTAATTTTTTTTTTTTTTAATTATTA